AGATCCATCTCCTGACAACAGTGAAAGGGCCCCTAGACAAACTAGATGGCAGCAATTAAAGAACAGAGTTAACATGTGTCTATGGTATAACCAGACTTCATATTTTGTGTATGTTCCGGCCTTCTTGGTATTTACTGCCATGTGGGCATTCTTTTTGTTTTGGATAGTCTATCCAGCAAGTGAAGGGCGCCCCCTGCTGACCAATCCCTGGTCAAAAGGGAAAGACCCAATTTCAGTTGAAACTCAGGACATTCATGACCCACTCATTGTAGTAACCAAAAGGAGAGTAGGTTATTACCACGCAAGATCCCCACTTATGACAGGACAACTGGCTAACCCCTGTAAGACTAATGGTACAGGAAACACAAAGGAACTGTACTACTGCTATCAGAACAATAGAACCCTTGCCTCTGTAATATTTGATAAAACCAAATTCTCAATTGGAGGATGGTCCGCACATGACTGGAATGGTTATGCGTGGTACCTAGATAGCACCGGGTATAAACAAGTAGGACATAACTGGAAAGATGTATTCTCCACAACTGATAACACATGGAGCTCCAGTTCCTATGGAACGAGTGATATGGCTAAACGATGGAAAGGGAGAATCAAAATTACCGATACTGCGCAAAGCCTTATCCTAGATGTAAACACCACGACCGTTCCTTTCGACAAGCCCATTGGGATCGGGCAATATCCCAACCCACTTTGCCATGCTATAGCCTTATGTGTGTGGCGACCACATTATACCGATCCTTGCGTCACAGTCTCATTTTGCCCTAATCTAACTACAACCGCATTACTACCCACTATCACCAAAGGGCCGAAGTCCAAGTCACCCATCCAATCAAAAATTATGACAAATCCCACGGTCGATGATTGGTTTAAAGTAATAACAGGCATTTCAAGAGTTAACAACAACTGGTTAGTAATGGCAGAGCAGGCCGCTAATGCTTCCGCTACTGACTGCATTATCTGCATGGGCCCTAGACCTCTACTGCGTGTTGTTCCAGCCCCAATGGTCCCTCACTGTTTGGTCTCTGTTATGAATGTTAGCGTCCCAACAGGACAATGTTCAGTGTATGACTCAGTTTACCCCTTGACTGGTAAAGAAAATGAGAAGCCTATATTCTCCTATCACATCGCTCGCCAGAATTTCACTTGCATTAACATTACAGGGTTTAAATCCATTGGCCGAGTTCCTG